TTGCATATATACTGCTCCTCGTGAGAATTCCCCTAGACTTAGAATCCTTTGATAATTCTCCCCTGATCCAAGTCTTTACTCTGATAGTTGCAGAATGCTGATTTTTTTTTCTTCCAACTCTATTCCCTCCACATTTACCAACCAGCCCTGGCATTCTCCTATAAACAGGAGGCCTCCCTTTCTCCCATTTGTACCTGTATGAACTCATGTAATCCTCTTTTCAATGGTTTATAATTCTTGACATAATTGCTATGGAGCGTAAATTCAGTGTTGAAGCTGGCTCTTGTGGTCTTGTCATATGCCCACATCATCTTTTTGTCGTTGTTGAGCATTTTCATATTTGCTGTCATAACAATGTCTCAGCTCATCTTACACCTATCCTGGCCCCAGCCTGGAATCCTGCAGGTTCATTTCGGTAGATAATGATAGTAGAGTCCAAGAACAAGGTCCTGGATTGTGCTCATTAACTCAGATATTTTTGATTCTTAGCTTTTCAGCAGACAAAGCTAGCGAATATATATACATTCACACACATATACATACAAATATTGGAGAAAGAAATGGCAACCCACTCCAGTATTCTTGCCTGGAAAATCCCATGGGCAGAAGAACCTGGTGGACTACAGTCCATGGGGTCTCAAGAGTCAGACACGACTTATAGACTACACCACCACCACCACATACAAATATACATACAGGTGAATGTACATTTATATAATGTGCATGTTTGTATATAATTTAGAAATCATAAGTTCACAGTAGTGCCTCTGATTTGTCCCCACAGGGTCTTTCTTGTCTCACCCTATTCCATATTATTATGTTCCTTCTTCCTCCAGAAGAGCTCTGGCTCCCAATTAAATCAACACATTTACCCAGTCTGGTAATAGATCTAAAATTGTTTCTGAATTGCTTTGCCCATAACACTACAGGAAACAAACCTTCCCAAACTTGTTGTTTGCAGCTCTTCCGCACTGCTCACTCCAGCCTTCCCAAAACTGAGAGTATGTATTACAAAGTTACATATTATGTACCCAAGTGACATGAATTAGTTCTTCCTTTTTTTTGTTTTGATCTTACATTTACCATATTCATGTAAAACACAAATGAATTCATTGGTTTCCATTCACTTTATAGTTTAGTGGCTTTCCCCCTTTCCCAGTCTTATTAATTTTATTTTTTGAATCTGCAAAACATTATCATGCTTCCATGAGTAAAAGCTATACAGAAAGCTGTAATCAGTGTCTCTCTCTCCCCTCTCTCTTCTGTTCTATTCCCCCACTCTATACCTTATAGGAAACAGCCTTCACTGTTTTGTGGGTTTTCTCATTACTAAAAAGAGAAAGTTATATGCTTGTTATTTTTTATTTTCCTTCTTACATAAGATGTAGCATATATGCTGTCTTTTGCTTTACAGCATATCCTGGAAATTGCTCCCTAACAATTTATAGAAATGTTCCTCTTCTTTTTAGTACTCCATTGTGTGTGTGTGCCATATACACCAGTCTTCTATGCTTAGACATGTAGATGATTTTCTAGATTTTGTAATTAAAAATAATGCTACGATGAATAACTTTGTGCACATATGCTTTTGTATTGTTGGAAGTGTATCTTCAATGTAAATTCCTGGGTGGGATTTCTGGATTGGAGTATAATGCATACATAGTTGTGTAGATATTGGCAGATTTCCTTCAACAGAGGTTATGCCAATTTGCATTCTCAGTAATGTGTGAGACTGTTTCCACAGCCTCACCCAAAGAGTATATTTTTAAGGTTTTGAATATTTGCCAATCTAACTTGAGAAAGGGGATCTTAGTATAGTTCTCATTTGCATTTCTCTTATTATGAGTGAAATTGAAAACATGCTTAAGGACCATTTATGTATTTCTTTATATGAATTGTCTGTTCATGTTCTTTACCCATTTTCTGTAGGATTTTGTCTCTTTAACTTTAAAACATTGTATATTCGAGATATTAGCCTTTATACATAATATATGTTGCAGATATTTTCTTCCACTTTGTCATTTATTTTTTTGGTTTTGCTAATGGTATTTTTTGCCATGCAAGTTTACTTTTATTTCCATGTAATCAGCTTTGTTACTCTTTTATTGCATCTGGGTCATAAAAAACTTCTGTACTCAGGTTGTAGAGGCATTCACCCATGTTTTCTTCTGGTGCCAGTTTTTAATATTTAGAGTTCTGCTATATTTGGAGAGGGCTTCCCTGATAGCTCAGTTGGTGAAGAATCCGCCTGCAATGCTGGAGACCCCAGTTTGATTTCTGGGTCAGGAAGGTCGTCTGGAGAAGGGATCAGCTACCCACTCCAGTATTCTTGGGCTTCCCTTGTGGCTTAGCTGGTAAAGAATCCATGTGCAATGCAGGAGACCTGGGTTTGATCCCTGGGTTGGGAAGATCCCCTGGAGAAGGGATAGGCTACCCACTCCAGTTTTCTGGCCTGGAGAATTCCATGGACTGTTTGGTCCATGGGGTCGCAAAGAGTTGGACACGATTGAACAACTTTCACTTCACTTCACTTCCATTTGGAGTTTATTCCTGTGAATGATGTAAAGAATGGATCTACTTCCAACACTATTAAAGAGACTATTTTTGCTTCATTGATCTGAAATACCACCTTTATCATATACTTGATTCTGTGTGTAATTGGGACTATTCTGGATTTTTTCCTATTCTGTTTTTTTATATACCAGTGCCACACTGTTTGGGCTTCCCTGTTTCACTGTTTGGTTCAGACAGTAGAGAATCCGCCTGCAATGCAGCAGACCCAGGTTTGATCCCTTGGTCAGGAAGATTCCCCTGGAGAAGGCAATGGCTACCCACTCCAGTATTCTTGCCTAGAGAATTCTGTGGACAGAAGAGCTTGGTGGGCTACAGTCCATGGGCTTGCTAAGAGTTGGACACAACTGAGCAACTAACACTTTCAGTTTTCACCACACTATTTTAGTTATAATAGCCTTTGGAATATCTAAATAGTATGAGTAGTTCTCCTCCCTTACAGTTTTTCTTTTTCTCTTTTTCCACCCTGACAAATTTTGTGTTTCCCTGGCAATTTCAGGGGATTTGATTTTGTGTTGTAGAAACTTGACATCTTTCTCTTCTCAGAGCTGAGGGTGATAGAGGTGGAGGGGCCCAGATCAAAGGGAATGGGTAGAGCAGGGTCCCTCATGTGATGGGAGCAGGATTCAGAGCACAGACAAAAGATGTGTTGCTACTAATGGTCTGGATTTCCAGTGACCACTCACATTTTAAATAGCATGACTGCTCTGCCCAAGGTTGTAAAGAAAGGGAGCATGGAGCTAGGGTTGTGCCACCACTCTTTAGTGACTTCTAATGATCTCTTACCTGATATTACTTAGTAGTCATTTTGTGAAGCCTTCTCAGATGAACTACCTTTTCATCTTCATTTTTTAAAATGTATACCGAGTGATTCTTTATTTTAGCTTCCTGGCGATATTGAGTTCCTAGCTCCTCCGGTTCTGTAAATGTTAATTCAGAGTCTATTATTCACTTCTGTAAGCATAAATTGGATCATGAGTGCAGGTGTTTGTATGTGTCCACTCCAGAGTATATATCTTACTTTTCTTTTATTGCCTCTGCTTTCTTATCACATGTTCACACATAGAGTTTCTAAGTAGAATTACAGAGTACTGACCAAGGGGGGGGTCTGATACCCAGGTAAGAGAGAGGTCTGAACGTTAACTAAGTCTAATTACAAATGTCTAATTGTCTAAGGCTGGGAGACAACTAAGTTAGAAGTGTTGCTTCTGTTCTCAAGAGTCAGTCTTTTAGCAGGTGCATGCTGACAGAGTGCCAGCTGTGTGTAGAGTGCCTTCAAGGGAATAAGGAGTCACTGCCTTAAAATCTGCTTTGAGGAGTTTGCCTTTTCTGAGTCCTGTGGTTTATCCTCAGGTTCCAACCCTGATCCAATAACCTGATCTTGATTAAATAATGAATTAGGTGCTATAGCATATAGAATTAACCAAGTGACTGGCAGTGTTCTCCATACCTTATATATGTTATTTAATACATCAGTTCTATTGCCCTCATTTTACAGATGAGGAAACTGGCAGAAAGAGCTTAAGTAACTTTTTTGCGGCTCATACAGCTAGGTATTTATGCCTAGGCAATATCGTTTCCTTTGCTTGACAGTTTGTATTTTAGCTTCTGATCTTTGATATGCTCTGACTGCCATTAGCCTGTTCATCAAGTGGGAATGAATGCCTCTGCCTGGCAAGCCAGAGTGTGTTCTTCCATGTAGAGTTCTTCCCTGACTAAACCACTCTCCAGGGTCAGTGTTTTCCTTGGAGAGGAAATCCAGGAGGCTATACCAACAACAGGCATCTGCAGCTTGTTTTCTTTCTCATCTCTGACATGATTGTCCTCATGATTTCATAACCAACTCCCCATTTCCTTCACTCATGTACTGATTTCTCCTTTAGTTTTGCCAACCCTCTGCTGATTATGACTTCTTAGCTTTTGTCTTATTAATCTTTCTGTCTCCTATTCTTCAGAGACTCTTTGGACCCTCTGTTTGGTTTTCAGAGACTAGGTGATATTTTTCAACAACTGGTCAATGTTGCCCTTGATTCTGTGCATCATTCCAGTTCATTTCAACTTGTCATCATGCTGAGTTGTTATGCAGGAATAGAAAACGTCTCTGTTCCATTGGCAACCTAGGGATCTAGCATTTTAACATTACTCCGCAGGGGCAGAAATTTTGGCACATCCATGATTGTATCCCTAGCAGTTAAAAATGGTACCTATCACACCGTATGTGGTCAGTAAACATTTGTGGAGTGAATGAGTGAATTTGGATATTAATTCCTTCAGTTTTTCTAAAGTGAAGGTATCATTTTCATTTTCTTGGTTTAGTGTCACATTTGAAGACGAGGGGCACTGAGGATGAGGAATCAACTGAAAAGTATGAAAATACTGGAAATGCAGAATCTGTATGGCCAAAAGTGGAAGGTCTTCACAAGGATCATATGCAGGAGTCTAAGGTTGGTGAAACTTGTGATTGGGATAGCAAGGTAGAAAATCAGATGGACAAGCCTGAGGGAAAAAGAATGAAGGAAGACAAAAGTGGCATCAGGGAAAAGATTGGCAAAGCCAGGAATACAGCAAATATAAAGACAGAACAGGAAGATGAGGCATCTGAGAAAAGCTTACATCTGAGCTCAAAATATGTTATACACCAGACCGTCCCTATAGAACAGAAAAACAGTGAACAAGTCAAATGTGTGGAGAGCATTAATGGAAACTCTCATCCCAGTCTACAACAAAAAGCCAGTGCTGTTAAGAAATCACATAAATGTGATGACTGTGGAAAATCCTTCAAATACAATTCCCGACTTGTTCAACATAAAATTATGCACACTGGTGAAAAACGCTATGAGTGCGATGACTGTGGAGGGACTTTCCGGAGCAGCTCAAGCCTTCGAGTCCACAAGAGGATCCATACTGGGGAGAAGCCGTACAAGTGTGAGGAATGTGGGAAAGCCTACATGTCCTATTCCAGCCTTATAAACCACAAAAGCACCCATTCTGGGGAAAAGAACTGTAAGTGTGATGAGTGTGGAAAATCCTTCAATTATAGCTCAGTTTTGGATCAGCATAAGAGAATTCACACTGGGGAGAAGCCCTATGAGTGTGGTGAGTGTGGGAAGGCCTTCAGGAACAGCTCTGGCCTCAGAGTCCACAAAAGGATCCACACAGGTGAGAAGCCCTATGAATGTGACATCTGTGGGAAAACCTTCAGTAATAGCTCTGGCCTTAGAGTCCACAAAAGGATTCATACAGGGGAGAAACCCTATGAATGTGATGAGTGTGGGAAGGCCTTCATTACCTGCAGAACACTTCTAAATCATAAAAGCATCCACTTTGGAGATAAACCCTATAAATGTGATGAGTGTGAAAAATCATTTAATTATAGCTCTCTCCTCATTCAGCATAAAGTTATCCACACTGGAGAGAAACCTTATGAATGTGATGAATGTGGGAAGGCTTTCAGGAACAGTTCAGGCCTTATTGTGCATAAAAGGATCCACACAGGAGAGAAACCTTACAAATGTGATGTCTGTGGCAAAGCATTCAGCTATAGCTCAGGCCTGGCAGTCCATAAAAGCATTCACCCTGGGAAGAAAGCCCATGAATGTAAGGAGTGTGGAAAATCATTCAGCTATAACTCACTTCTTCTTCAGCATAGAACAATTCACACTGGAGAGAGACCTTATGTATGTGATGTCTGTGGAAAAACTTTCAGAAACAATTCAGGACTCAAAGTCCACAGGCGACTCCATACTGGGGAAAAACCTTATAAGTGTGATGTGTGTGGAAAAGCCTATATCTCACGCTCTAGCCTTAAAAACCACAAAGGAATCCATCTTGGGGAGAAGCCCTATAAATGTAGTTATTGTGAAAAATCCTTCAATTACAGCTCTGCCCTTGAACAACATAAAAGGATTCATACAAGGGAGAAACCCTTTGGGTGTGATGAGTGTGGAAAAGCCTTCAGGAATAATTCAGGCCTTAAAGTCCATAAACGAATCCACACTGGGGAGAGACCTTACAAATGTGAAGAATGTGGGAAGGCCTACATCTCACTTTCAAGCCTTATAAATCATAAAAGTGTACACCCTGGGGAAAAGCCCTATAAGTGTGATGAGTGTGAGAAAGCCTTTATCACATACCGAACCCTTATAAATCACAAAAAAATTCATCTTGGGGAGAAGCCCTACAAATGCGATGTGTGTGAGAAATCTTTTAACTACACCTCACTTCTTTCTCAACACAGAAGGGTCCACACTAGAGAGAAACCCTATGAATGTGACAGGTGTGAAAAAGTCTTCAGAAACAACTCAAGCCTTAAAGTGCATAAAAGAATTCATACTGGTGAGAAGCCCTATAAATGTGATGTGTGTGGAAAAGCCTACATCTCACACTCAAGCCTTATTAACCATAAAAGTACCCACCCTGGCAAGACCCCCTACACATGTGATGAATGTGGAAAAGCTTTTTTCTCAAACAGAACTCTTATAAGCCATAAAAGAGTCCATCTTGGGGAGAAACCCTTCAAATGTGTTGAATGTGGGAAGTCTTTCAGTTATAGCTCACTCCTTTCCCAACACAAGAGGATTCATACGGGGGAAAAACCCTATGTGTGTGATGGCTGTGGGAAGGCATTCAGGAACAGCTCAGGCCTCACAGTGCATAAAAGGATACACACAGGTGAGAAACCCTATGGATGTGATGAGTGTGGGAAGGCATACATCTCACACTCGAGTCTTATCAACCATAAAAGTGTCCATGGTGGGCAGCAGCCCTATAATTGTGAGTGTGGGAAATCCTTCAATTATAGATCAGTCCTTGACCAACACAAAAGGATCCACACTGGAAAGAAGCTATACCAATGTAACGAGTGTGAGAAGGCTTTCAATATCAGATCAAATCTCACCAAGCATAAAAGAATCCATACTGGAGAGGAATATTTAAATGTGACAAATATGGGAAGTCATAGTGGCACATCACAGAAGAGAACTCATGAGGGAGGGAATGCTCTGGATGGGACCAGGATGAGCATGTCTCTGTAGGAGGCAGAGTTTACCAAGTATCAGGGAACTCAAATGGAAGAAAAACTTTATAAGAGTATTTGAGGTCCTTGTTCGTGGCTTATAATTTTCACAGTATAAATGAAACCATGAGTGATTTCTTTTCTCTGTGATTTTCAGTCATAGCCAGCAAGGAAGGTTCCAGTGTTGAAGTAGGTGAGCCCTTATGGAATATAAAATATTTAATTCATGCTGGGAATAAAACCTGTTGAAGTGATGGAGTATGAAAAAAGTCTTCAAAATAAGTAGACATTTCTGGACGTAAGAAATACATATGAGAAAAAGACTTCAATTAGAAGTCACATAGTCACCAACAGAAAGTTCATATATGGGTAAAGTCTCTGAGTAGGAATGTAGGAAATTCAGGAATAGCTTTGAGTTCCAGTTATCTGTTGGTCAGTGGAAAAGATCCAAGAGGGACCTCCAGTAGGCTAATTCAGGGAAAGGAAACAGGCTTCAGGGAATATAAATTAATATAGTAGTGGTCATGAAGAATAACTTTGATATAATTGATTTGGGGGAGTGACGGCAACTTGTGAAAATTTGAATTTCATTGTAGGAAATGTAAAAAGTATAGACTTATAAATCTTAAGAAAATAGAGAGTCACTCATAAATAAATTCAAGTTGATTGGACTATACTGTTGTAATGTTGTGATATACACTATTGAGTGGGTGAAACTTTAAAAATTTTCAAATAAATACCCTTAATGAATCATGAATATGTCATAAGTGAAAATATCACACATTATGCTACAAATGAAAGGTTCTACCATGTATGGAAATTTAGCATATTTAATAACTAATGGAACACATCCTCAACATGCAGAAAAAATTGATTCAGGGATTCCTATGTATAGGAATTCTGAGCAGGAGGGCATTTTATTGCAGGACCTGAAAAGCTAAGTATCTATCTGTTATTGGGGGATAGGAGAAAATTCCTGCTTCTTAACAACCTTGTTAAATGTTTGATTGTGTTATTGTAAAGATTTCATGCACTACATGTGTTTATTGTCTGTTGTAAAATGTTATGAATTTCTGTTCAGGGCTCACTCTCAGCCATGAAGAGCCAGATAGTTGTGGCAAGGTAAGGTGAAACTCCAATAAAGGAATTCTTCAAAAGTAAACAGGCTGTGACATACTTTAGGTGGAAGAACACACAGAGAGCCATTTGTGTGTCTTGTCTTTCTAGGGTAAGTTATACCAGATGCAGACCAAGGAGGGCAGCAGGGGACTCATCCCTCAGGGCTAGTATCTCAGATTTTATGAGAAATTAGGTGGTACCTCCACCAGAAGTGAAGATTGGATTGATCCTCATACTGGGGCTGGATAATAACCCCTAGGAGTGGACAGGTTGGGCGAGTGGTCAGTCACAAAATAGAAACTGTTCTCTTGGGACCAGACAGAATTTACATATAGTGTTAACTATATGTAAGACTGGAGACTTCCCAGATGGTGCTAGTCATAAAGAACCCACCTGCCAATGCAGAAGACATGGGTTCGATCCCTGGGAAGATCCCCTGGAGGAGGGCATGGCAACCCACTCCAGTATTCTTGCCTGGAGAATCCCATGGACAGAGGAGCCTGGTGGGCTACAGTCTGCAGGGTTGCAAACAGCTGGACACGACTGAAGCAACTTAGCACACATATATGACTATTAACTAGGTAACGCAAAGAATGAAAAGTGAGTCTTTTGAGAATTAAGTAACCTGTCCAGGAATTTTCCTGGTGGGGCTTATCAGTAGAGGCCAAATTCTAAGTCAAGTCTCTTTGGCTCCAAACTCCACTCTTTACAAGAGGACAGTGTTTAGTCAGATAGCTTCTTGGTTCTCTCTAGGATTCCTGTTTTTATACACATAGTTTCCATGCCTCTCTTTAGAAGTATTCTTCCACTTGCTTCCAAACAAGGTAAGTTTTGATGGTGGTGGGAGGGAGGGATGGTGGTGGAAAAGGGAGAAAGCAAGAGCATTTCTGTCACCAATTTCCACTTTGGAATGTCACAACCACACTTGCTTTTTGTCCTCCACCTGCAGCACTGACAAACCTGACCCTGTCCATAGACTTGGATTAGTTTATTCAGCAAATACTTGTTAAGGATCTGCTAGACACATCCATTGTCTCATGTGCTAGGCAGCAGTAGATAGAGGACAGTGGCCACTACAAAACCACCCTAATGGATGCTGAACTAAACTTTATGCTTTGTGAGGAAAGTGATCTCCACCTACTGGGAAACGAGGCACTAGTGACATCTGAACAGGATATTGAGTCTTTTACTTAAGAGAACGGGAAATAGGATGAACTGGTCAGAGGCACCATTGGAAATGCCTGCATTGTCCAGAGGGGGCCAGTCCCTGGAGGTCTGGTGTACAGTGGGCAGAAAGGAAAGAGGCCATGGAGTATTGATTCCTAGTAGTCACTGAGCATCTACCAAGCTTTCATTTGCTGGATATAGGGCCAGCTCTGTTTGATCAGGTTACTTAAGGTTTCCACGTGGCTAGGGCTGTTGGTGTGCCTGTGGCCTGAAGTTCCCAACCCCCTCACACACACACAAACACTCCTACATGAGTTCACATGGACCTAATGCATCACTTACTCTCAAAAGAGACATGGGTTAAATAACAACAGAGAAGATATGTAATGCACGGGTGGGAATTCTGAATGCCCCAGCCTACTGAGCACCAGGATGTGCTCCTGTTACAAACTCTGTTGACTCAGGCACATGGAGAATGAGCCACAGTCTACCTAGGGCCAGATATGTACTGCTTGGACTGGTTCCAGAAGAGGAGGGAGTCTTTGGGTCTCCAGCCATAGCAGGCAGACTGTGTAGAACAGATCCAACAAGCTGGTGCAGCTACACCTAATTAAGCCCTCATCAGGCCTTGAGCTAGTTTAGGGATCACTAACCCCCACTGAACTGAACCCCCACTTCTCCCAAAGAACGTCTGATATCCAAGAAGAAAAAATTGCCAACGTGTAGGTAAATTGAAACACTGTATTTTTTTAAAGTGCCATTAAGGCTAAAAAATAAATGGAATTTGGACAATAGTAGGTAAATTGGAGGCTGGAACATTGTGTGAAAGTGGGTTAAACGCTTGGATTATTTGACAGGGTGGTCAAGATGCTGTTTAAAATGGTAAAATGTCATGGGTAAGCACTAGAAGGATAGAAATAAAGTATAATTTGAAAAATCTGAACTGGGAAATGTCAAAGGCTAGAAAAGGAAAAATGATATCAAAGGTGAGATAGTAGTTTGTTTCTGGTGAATGTTGTCTCAGTTATTTGGATCAGTTTCCCAGAAAAAATACTGAAAAGTGATTTCTTACAAAAAAATATATTTTTAAAATATTTGGTTGCCTCTGATCCTGTTTGCAGCAAGTAGATCTCTGTTTCATCATGCAGGATCTTTCATTGCAGCGTGTGCATTCTGGAGTATACTGGCTCAGTAGTTGCAGTGAGCAGGATTAGTTGCTCTGCAGCTTGTGGGATCTTAGTTCCCTGACCAGGGATCGAACCCACGTCCTCTGCATGGCAAGGTGGATCCTAAGCCACTAGACCACCAGGGAAGTCCCTAAAAACGTTTTTTGAAAATGCAGATGGCATGCCCTCCCTTCCCCTTAAAAGAGCCTGGAGTCTGAAAAGACTGCAGTTTAAACAGGCAGAGTTGTTTTAAGATGGGGTCTTGTCATCAGAGATTAACACCAAAGCGGCTTAGCCCCCAGACTGTGCTGATGCTATAGAAGAGTTAGGCTCCACTTCACCAGCCACAAAGAGTGAGAGAAATAGAAGGATGATAGGGCCAGGCTCACCCAGGGTGATGAATCTTACAGGTGACTTCCAAAGTTAGATTGGGTTACCAGAGTGCTACACCCTCTGGACCAGATAAACCAAATCTAGACCCATCCCCAGGGTACTTTTGTTGCCAAGCACAGCAGTAGAAGAAAAAGAACATCCCTAACAGATTGTGGTCCTTGACCAACCCTTACAACCCAGGTAAACACAACCAGAAGCAAACAAAACTTCCTTGGAAGAGGACTCCTTCAATCTAGACCTCAGGTAACAATTTTTCAGGGGTAATAATCAGAAACAATAATCAGGCACAAGGGAAAAAGCATGACTGAAAACCAGCAGAAAAGAACAGACCCACATAGACTTCACATTAGAATTAATGGGTACATTTGTGAGAACAACTGCTTAAAATATTTAAAGATTTGGCAACAGATGGTGAAATAGGGGGAATAAGAATTGGTGAGCTGGAAGATATGATTGAAGTTTTATCCAGAATGCACCATGGAGATAGAGAAATACGGGGAAACACAGAAACATGGGAAGGTCTCACTGGAAAGTTTAATGTATATTTAATCACAGTCTTAAAAGGCAAAGATGGAAAAAGGCAAAGGTAATTGGGCTGAGGATATTCCAGAACTGATGAAAAATAACAAGTCTATAGATTTAAAGCCCAAAAGAATACAAATTAGGATAAATTTATCAAATCATAGCTACAAGCATCATAGTGCAACTGCAGGAAATCAAGAAAAAAACAATTACCTTCAAAGGAACAAACTTCCCAACAGCAACAACAGAATCCAATGAGTAGAATGAAAATGTCAGTATAAAGGTAGAAAATAACTGTCAAATTAGAATTTTGTACCCAATGAAGATACCTTTTATGAATGAGGACAAAATAAGCACATAAGACAATTTTGTTTCAATCATCCCCTACTGACCCTTAAACTAAAGGAAATTTTAAAGAATGTACTATAGAAGGAAAGTGATCTCAGATTGGACTTTTAGATGTGAAAAGGAATGAAGAGCAAAATACATATAAAATGTAACAGAGTTTTATATGAAACAATAGAAATGTACAGTTGTTAAGATATACTTAAAATACCAGAAAACAGTGATAGATAAATCACAAGAGAGTAAAATGGATCGAAGTATTAGGGTGAAGGCTTTGGTTACTCTCATTAATATTGTGAAATCTAGAGGAATCATAAAAATAGAACATACAAATTTGATACTAATAGAAAAAATGTTTAATTAAAAATGTAAGTTAAAAAAAAAGGGGGTGAGACCAAAAAAAAGAAATAAAGATGGTAAATCTTAAGCCAAAAAGAAACCCCCACAATATTTAGACATAATTTAATTTCACTAAATGACAAAGATTGTCAGGTAGTGTCTTCGTTTGGGCTGCTACAGCAAAACACCACATGCTAGGTGGCTTATAAATAACAAAAAATGTATTAAAATGTCTTAATTCTGGAGGCTGGAGGTCCAGAGTGATTGGAGATCAGCATAGTTGGGTGCAGGCTTTCTTCAGGGTTATAGACTTCTTATATCCTCACATGGCAGAAGGGATTAGAGAATCTTGTGGGGTGTCTTTTATAAGAGCACCAGTCCTATTCATGAGGGCCCAACCCTGATGACCTAATCACCTTCAAAGGCCCCCACCTCCTAACATTACATTGGGTATTAGGATTCCAACCTGCAAATTCTTAGCACACAGGGCGAAAGTACAAAACCCCATTACATTACTACTTAAAAGAGACTCAAATATAAGGACACTAAGTTTGAAAGTAAAAGAATGGAAAAAAGTTATATGAAGCCAACATAAAACTGATGTAGCTCTACTAATATTAGATAGAGCAGGGACATCAAGGCACAAACCATTCTTAGAGATAAAGGGAGTTGTTACATTAAAGACAAAATATTCAGGAAAGAAAAACACTGAAAAGATAGAACAGTTCTAAGTATCTACCTAAAAAGTATTCAGACACAAAAAAACATAACATCCACAGTTATTTCTTTAACCTCTCTAATTAATAGGACAAGCAGACTAAAAATTGGTAAAGATACAGATTTAAACAATAAGATTAAAAGCACTTTAATGTATATGTATGGGACACTGCACCAGTGTATCAAGGATGCATATATTTTGTCAAGAACACATGAAATATTTTCAAAAATACCTACACAATGTTATGTGTCAATTATACTTCAGTAAAGCTGGGGTGGGGGGCTTGACAAATATGCTGGACCAGAAAGTAAATCTGAACAAAATTTACATAACTGAAATTAGAAATTAATTTTAAAAATGTATAAAGCATGTCTATTCAGAAATTTGCATAAACATTTAAAAATCACAGTTCAGAGAAGAAAGTATTTTCAACTGAATGATAATGAAAATACTACATATCAAAACCGCAGAGATATTGCTTAGTGCTTAGAAATTTATAGCTTAAAAGATATTTCAGAAAATCAGAAAACCTGGTAATTAATCACCTAAGCAACACTTCAAAAAGAAAATCATATCCTAATGGAAGTTACAACAAGGAAGTAATAAACAGCAGAAACTAACAAAACAGAAAAACATTATAGAGACCAGAGCCAAATGTCTGTGTTTTGGAAGGGATTAATAAAACTGACAAACTTCTGGTGAGACTGAACAAGAAAAAAAAGCCTGAATAACCAAAGTCAGGGATAAAAAGGGAGAATACAGAGAACTGTAAATTTTTCTTCTCTGAACATACACTGACCTCCTTGCTCTCTGCTATTCTGAGAGAATAGCTCACTCCTAAACTCCTGACTCAACAATTCTGAGAACAGGAATGTAACAGTCACGATGAGCCAAATCAGAAAGAAGCACAACTCATTTCTGTAAGACTGCAATACCTAAAAAAAAAAAAAAAAAAAACTCAATACCTACCAAAACTGCAGTATTCAGTGCTGCTTCTGTTTCTTTCCCCTGTAAAACCTCACATTCCTCATGTTTGGAGAGACATTTCCTTTAAATCTTTCCCTGTTACAACAGTTTAAATAAATTCCCTTGAAGTCTCAGCAGATTTCTAAAGTTTTGTGTTACAAATGCTACAGACATTAAAAAAAATAAGATATTATATCACAGTTTTGTGCCAATAAATTAGAAATTTTATTTGAACTGAGAAAATTCCTAGGGGGTAAGAAACAAGACCTACTAAAGGTCACACAGTTGGGAGGAGTATGGGAAAGATTCTGAAGTGAGTTCAGTCCTTATGGAACTCACAGGAGGAGTGAGTGGAGGGAGAAGCAATAGAGAGGGAAGGGAAAACCTTGATAAACAGTAAGTTTGAAAAAGCTTTCCATAGGAGCGCACTCTATTTCTAGTGAATCTGTCTGAAAGCAAAAGCCTGAAAAATTATTTCATCAGGGTTTATGTACAGAGACACTATGGGTAAAAAGTTCTGAATATCAGTCATGAAATGCAAGGGAACTTTTCCCTCATGAGATTAAAAAATGAGACACAGTCACCTAAGGATCAGCTAGCTGAGGACAGACAGTTGGGACCTGAAGTCTGTCTGCATCAGGACCTTAAGGTTTCCTAGGGAATTCTCTGGCCTGGGAAGTCTCTCCATGCCTCTTCCCCAACTTCAGCTGAGGGCCTTGACTGGAGACATGCAGAAGGAAGTCAGAATATTTAACTCGATTTTTCTTTCCATTGAGTGTTCCCATTTAGACCTGGCAGTTCTTCTCAGGCTGTGAATAGTATCAGTTATGCTCAGGAAGGAGTTTGTGTGAATCCCACGCAGAGAGGCAACACAGTGTAGTAGCCAAGAGCAGTCTCTCCACCATGAAGCTGGGGTTCAAGCAAGGACTCTCACTTATTCCCGGATGACTAAGCAAGTAACTAAACCTTCTGCTTTTTTTGCTCATGTGTCCTCATCTACCTCTTGTTGGGATGATAATGGTGACAACCTCAGAGGTTGTAATGAGGGTTGGGGAGGTTACTGTTATTAGAGCCCTTAGAAATGTGCGTGGAATGAGAAGCATTTGTAGAAGGGTGTGGGAAGTAAGTCTGACAGTGTGATGGCCCCTGTCCAAGGATTCATACATCTAGACGGACACTCAGGCAATGGAATACAGCCCCATCTTCAAGCCAAGAAAATCCCCCACGGACTACCCCACACAAGGTTTGAGAAGAAATTTTTTTTTGGATATGTTTACCCTGTGGTATTTGCTTCTAAGCAAGCAATCCATTGTTTCTAAGCAAATATGCTTTTTTTTTTTTTTTTTTTCTGGAAAAGGGGTCAACAAGAAGAGCCTCCAGCTCTAGTCCAGTGACCCAGAGTGTTGAGTTGATCAAGGGCTGCTTCACACTTGCTTCTCTGGCTAGGCAGCCTGCCCACTCATGCTGTACACAGTTTTCTCCCCACTCCCTCCCCATCCCTCTGTTTTCTTGGTAATAGGCATACTGGAGACTACTGAAGGAAGGATTGGTGAGAGCCAAGCTTCCACCATCTTAACCATGGCTGTTGTGGGTAAGTGTTCCTGAAGACCTCAGAGAATAAAAGGAGGCCCTGGAATGGGAGGAGAAGTTCCTCTGGTCTGGGGTCAGTATTCTGGTGAATGTGATAATTATCTATAATTTCCCCATTTGTAAAAATGAAGGAAAAGACCCAACTCAACAAGGTTGCTTTGAGGATTAATGAGAAAGCACTTTGTATTTTATAAAACTTCACATAAACATTATTGTTAAGTTGATTAATGATCTGTTATTTTTAAAAGTTAAAGGAGATAAAGAAGATGAGAGTAAAAATCAATGAAACTGTAACACAACAGGATCAAAAGTCAAGGTTGGTACTTTGAAAAAAGAATTAAAATTCTCTTCTGGTAGACTTCTGGGACAATAAGAAAGAACAAAGCACAGATAATTATAACAGATACCCTAGGTTATTTGGAAGTGTATTTTTAAACTTTGAAACAGGAAATTCCTAGTTATAATTTTGTTATTGCATTTTGGTTAGAAATCATACTGTATATGGTTGCTATCCTTTTATGTTTGTATAGATTTGTTTATGGCCAGTGTGTGTTTGACCTTAATGAAGATTCCACAAGCATTGGAAAAGAACATGTGTTCTGCAGACTCTGGGTGCAGTCACCTAGATAAAGACATTAGATCAATTTTGTAATGTATTGTTCAAATCATCTCCTTATGAATTTTTATCCACTTGTTCTATCAATTAATGAGATAATTGTTGAGTTATCCATTTCTACTTACAGTTATGTGGGTTTTGCATAATATATTTGAGGCCATGTCATTAGGTACATGCAATTACACACTCGCTACATCTTCCTTACTTAAAGAAGTAAAACTCTGTAGTAATGCCTTTGGCTTATTTTTTTTCTGGTATTAGTAACAGCAGCTTTTTTTTCATTATTGTTGTCCAGCATAACTCTTCTCATCCTTTCACTTTCAACCTTTTCTGCATCCTTGGGTATTTTCTTTGTTTTGGGGGGGGTTATGGCCACTCTGTGCCACTTGTGGGATGGGTGGGACTGAACCCCCAGCCGTGACAGTGAAAGGGCTGAGTCCAGTGGACTTTCACTGGACTGCCAGGGAATTCCCTCTGTATCCTTGGTTTAAATGTGCTTCTTGAAATAGCATGTAGTTGTTTTAAATCAGTTTGATAACTTTTTTATCATGGGTACTAGGTCTTTAATATATAAGTTCCAATATGTTTGGGTTAGTTTTATTCACTGCTTATTATCTTTTAAATAGTTTTATTTTATTTTTGGCTGTGTTGGGTCTTTGTTGCTGTGTGGGCTTTTCTCTAGTTGCGGTGACAGAGGCTACTCTTCATTGCAGTGCACCGGCTTCTGCTTATAGTGACTTTTTGTGTTGCGGTGCATGGGCTCTAGAGTGTGTGGGCTTCAGCAGTTGCAACTCCTGGACTCTGGAGCGCAGGTTCAATAGTTGTGGCGCATGGACTTAGTTGCGCCGTGGCATGTGCAATTTTTCCGAATCAGGGATCGTACCCGTCTCCTGTTTGGCAGGTGGATTCTTTACTACTGAGCCACCAGGGAAGCCCCACAATGCTTATTATTTATCCCACATGATTTAAATTCTGTTATCTCTTTTCTTACTTTCTTTCAGATTAGATTAGAATTATTCTATTTCCCTCTTTTGATTTGGAAGTTTGTGCTTTTCTTTTAATGGGCAAGGAAATAAACGATCCATCCCTGACTTATGAAAACCTAGTTTTATCTTCATCCTGGATAATGAAAGGATCTTAAATACTTTAACTGTTTATCTCCTGCCTTATATGCTATTTTGTGAATATTAATTATGTATATGTAAATGTATATAAATATGTCATAAAAATAATTATTATTTCTACATCAAATGTTTATTTACATTTATCCACATATTTACTATTTTACTTTCATATTGCTCTTCATTCTTCTCTCCCTCCCTCACTTTCCTTGTGAGGTCATTTTCCTTGTGTTTGAAAAACGTCATTTAAAACATTCTGTCCTGTTATTCTACCTTCATTCTTCCTTTCCCTTAAACTTTTTATTTTGTATCAGAATATTGGGCTTCCCTAGTAGCTCAGACAGTAAAAAAAACCTGCCTGAAATAGGGGAAACCCAGGCTTGATCCTTGGGTTGGGAAGATCTCCTGAAGAAGGGAATGGCAACCCACACCCAGTATTCTTGCCTGGAGAATTCCATGGACAGGGGAGCCTGGCGGACTACAGTCCAAGGGGTCACAAGGAGTAAGACATGACTGAGCAATAAATATGTTTATATAGCTGATTTATGATGTGATATTTTCAGTTTCCACCTTCATTTTTAAGAAACATTTTTTTCTAGAAATCGAATTCTAGGTTGAGCATGATATTCTGTTGTCACCCTGGAGGCACCAAACCACCAGTTTCTGACTTGGTGAGAAGTCAGCTGGTGAGCAGTCAACTGTTCATCTGTCCGTTTAATATATTCTTTTGTTAATGGCTTAAGATTTTTTTTCTCTGTCTTTGGTTTATCCCAGTTTTACTATGATATGTATAGATATGGACTTTTCTTTCTTTAATAAATAATCCTCCTTGGGATTCTTTGGGCTGTTAAATTGGTAGATATGTATCTTCCTTTAGTTTTGGTAAATTTTCAGCCATTGTGTGCTCGAATATTAGTTCTATACCATTCTCTTTGTAATTTCCTTCTGGGACTCCAACTAAAGGTATGTTAGACCTTCTCATTGTATCACTTATGCCTCTTAATCTCTTATTCCCATCCCTTTGTTCCTTTACTTCGTACCTGGCTTCATTCTGGATATAACTTACCTTCCAATTCACTGTGTAATCTGCTTTTATGTGTATATTCTATTTTTCAGTTATAGAATTTCCATCTGCCTCCTTTTTTATAACATGCCAAATTCTCAAATTTGTCTTTTATGTCCTTGAGCATTGTTATTTTAAAAGCTGTATCTGTACCAGTTTTCTCTGATGCAGATCACTGAGTATGTCACCAGTCCCTTGCATTAGATTCCCTCTATCCAAATACTTAGAGTGGATTATATGTTCCTGATTAAACTGACTGTTACACTGCAAAAGGGAAGTTGGTTCAAGACCTACAGAAGTTGTGGTCTAAAGTCAGGTAACTCATCGCATATGTTATACTATAATTTATTTAACCAGTCACCTAATGATAAACATCACTGACTCAACGGACATGAGTTTGAGTAAACTCCGGGAGTTGGTGATGGACAGGGAGGCCTGGCGTGCTGCGATTCATGGGGTCGCAAAGAGTTGGACACAACTGAGCGACTGAACTGAACTGAATGATAAACACTTCAGTTGTTTCCAGTCTTTTTCTAGTATAAATATATTACCTTATACATTTGCAATAAAATGTATTTCTTTACCCTCAGCACAATTTCTGAGACAAATTTTGCTTTTAAGTTTTTGATAGATATAAAATTGCCCTCCCCAAATATTACAACATATAATTCCAACAATGGTGTGTGAAACTGTTTTCCTATACCTTTGCCACATTTTTCACGCTTGCCAAGCTGATATTTGAAAAATGGTATCATGCTGGGTTTTTTTCCCCCAAAACTTCTAAAAATCTTGAAATAGCCTCAAAGAAAAATGGAAACTAGAGTTTAAAACTTCCCCCCTTGAATTACTTGAGAATTCACAAATTCAAAAGTTACTAGTGAAGTGAAGTTACAAGTGAAGCACCTCATTATATCTGCATATTTTTAGTGTATATTTCCTAAAAGCAATGACCACCTACATCACCACCCCACAACCATCAAAATCAGAAAATTAATACTGATGCATTACTATGAATTCTCTGACTCCATCCAGATTTCTTTAATTGTTCCAATAATGTCCTTTGGAACAAAAAGATCCAGCTTATAATCATGCCTTGCTAATTCATTTTTGCTTTCTAGTTTCTTTCAATCTAGAATAGTCCCTTAGTCCTAGAATAGTGGTTCTCAAACTTGAGCAAAAGTGTCTCAAACTGAACACAGCCTGCTGGGCCCCAGGGGGCTTGTTAAACACAGACTGCTAGATCCCAGATTCTGTGATTTAGTAAGGCTGAGATGGCTGAGGATTTCCATTTCTACAAGTTCTTAGGCAGATTATGTTGGTCTGGGGATTCCATTTTGAGAACTGCTGTTCTGGAACCTCTCCATGTTAATGTCCTCCAGCCCTGACTAATCCCTGAGAGTTCATAAGACAGTCAATAGGCTTCTGCAAAAAGTGGAAAGTCAACACATAGTTTTGTCTTCTTAAATTTTAACGTAATGCTTCATACCACTAATAAGTAATTTTTTAAAAAAGGAATTACCCCATGTGGTTTGTATTAGTTTCTGTTTGCTGCAGAAATCACCATAATTTGGTGGTTTAAAACAATATAAACATATTATCTTAGAGTTCTGGAGATCAAGAATCTGAAATGAATCTCACTGGGCTAAAATCAAGGTGTCAGCAGGAGTTGCATTTTTTCTGGAGGCTTTAGAGAAGAACCCACTCTTTTTTTTCCCCTAGCTTCTACAGGGTGCCCAAATTTCTTAGTTCATGGTTCCCTTCCATCTTCAAAGTCAACAGTGGCTATGCTAGTCTTTCTATGCTGTATCCCTCTGATACTGACTGACTCTCCTGCCTCCCTTTCAAGTATAATGCCCCAGGGGAACAATGCAGAATAACTACCTCATTTCAAGATCCTAAATATCTTCAAAATCCCTTTTACCACATGAGGTAGCATATTCACAGGTTCTAAAGATTAGGATGTGGACATCTTTGGGGTCCATTTTTCTGCCAAGCACAGTGATGAAAACCACTAGCTGTCTACCAAACTCTGTTCTCTCCTGTGAGCACACAGCTAGAATAACATCTTCTAGTCCTTTTTACAGTTGGTTGACAGCACATGATCAATGTCCCTCCAAAGGGATGTGAGCAGAAATGTGTGTGTTCCTTCCATGCCAGATCTGTGACAACCTCCTCTGCATGCTCTGCATGTTCCTCCCATTTTCTCTAGACCCTAGAGAATGGCAGAGCCTGTGTCCCTAAATGATCACCAAGGAAGGGAACTGCCCCCTGATCCGAACACCCATCCTGAACTGCTAAGGGTGGGTGCAAGAAATAAATTTCTATGGCCTAGAGACTATGCTGTAGAGCCATTGCATTTTGAGTCTACCTGTTACAGTTCTTAGTCCTAACTAATACTGCCCTAACAAATGAGAATATATCTTGATTTTATTCCGAATGCCCATTTTTCATAAGACCTAACTTCCTATTTCCCTAAGAAGACTAAGGTCATCTGAAATAGCCAACCACAATTTTTC